TATATATATACATGTACTCATATCTCTTTATAATTTAATATATACATACATATATATATGTATGTTGTATGTATGCTACATCTCGATACCTGCCAGTTCTGCGACTGGCGGACAACTATACAATGAGGTGGCTAGGCGAGACACCCCCTCTTCCAATGGGCGGCTGGGATAGTATACACTCGATACTTCGCACGCACATAGAACTGAAATACATCATACAGCCCGCCATGCAGATACTGATACTCCGACTGTAGCGTGAATGTAAGCGTGCATCCAAAGAACTGCCGTGTGAACTCAGAAACAAATGCAACTGTCATGTGGACGCACTTAGGGCAAATTCAGCCCTGTCCGAAAATACCGATGTGGTGGTGCCTGCGCAATTTAAGGTATTTTGAGGACATACCAAGCCAACGTAAGGATGGGTATGTATGGGCACGCGAGTCTGGATATGCTGATACAACAGACCGCCAAGCATCATCACTGACACTGACACTGACACGGACACTGACACCTATCCATCCTCCCTACCGCAGTTGACTGTGACAGTCGGGCGACCCTGCCCGCTTCACCGGGGGCGGTGCCGCTGTCCCCCAGACTCTGGCGGCCCTTGTTGATGTACTTGCCACCCAGCCACACAATCACATCACCCCGGCGCGTGTAGTCGTCAATGTCCTGGATGACTTGTATCTGCAGACCGGAGGAATCAAGGGGTGAGTGGGGGGGGTCGATTCTGAGCCTATTACAGGCGCGTACAGCTAGTGAATACTACTCATTGATAACGATGGCATTTCAACACAGACGTAAATAGCGATGTACACTAACACACACGTACAACTAACACACATGTGCACTAACACACATGTACTCTTGGCATACACAACCCATACATTTCAATCCACCACATCCCAAGAATATACCTACACTACCCATACATTTCAATCCACCACATCCCAAGAATATACCTACACTCTCCACTGAGTAAAGAGCAGTAACCATATACACTCCGGCTGTTTCCTCATACATAGCTCGTCTACCTACAACCCCTACAGCCTGTACATACCTCGGTCAGTATCCCACTGTCAAGCGGACTGTCTTCACTAATACTTGCCACACTCCGACCGCCACCCGCACCACTACCAGCCCCTGAGCCGCCATACAAGTTCATGGTATACCCTTTGGCCGCATTAAACACATTCGTGATCGCCGCAGGCATAGTAGACCGTCTGGGCGGCTCCTTATACACGTGCGGCGCCGCTTCAGACCCATTTCCAGACCCATTTCCAGACCCCCCCACTCCTTTACCCCCATGCGCCGGTGCGTACGCGTGCGTGTGCGTGCTAGCGTCCTGCAGCGTGTTGTACGGCGTTGACGTGAGCGTCTCCGCGTGTGGGTGCTCCCCACTACTGCGTCTGCCCACATCACGGCCGTCTCTGCCTTTCTCGCTCACTCGGTGGTGGCTGCGATCTGTTCGGCCCATACTGCTATGCGGTCGGTGTTGCTGGGCTGGCTGGGTGTGTACGCCGAGTGCAGCGGTGTGCTGCTGTGTGTGCGTGGTGGGCGTGGGTCGCTTGGGCGGCGTCTCCTGGCAGGTAGCGTATGCGGGTGATCTGAGGTCGTCGTGTTGCAGTTGGGGTTGGGGTTGGTGTTGGTGTGTGTAGATGCTCTCGGTGCTGCCGGTGCTGCCCCGTTGTCCCATACGTGCGTCGTTGAGGTACAGGTTTGTTTGCGCCGGTAGGCTTGTGCCGTAGGTTTGCCTGATACTGCGTTCGTACCGTCCATCCACCTCTGCACGCGTGTAGCATTGATGTGTGTGCGTGAGTACAGAGCTTCATAGACACTGGGTAAGTCTGTGTACATCGGCAAACACAATTGGCGATAGAGATTATACAATGAACAGACGCATAGGTGCCGGAAAACGTTACACGGTCATCAAAGGGAACGAACGCGACTCAACGGAAAAGGGGCGACAGATATGTTAATGACTGCACAAACAAGCGAACCAGAACACTAGTATCTGCTCTGCCGTTGACAAGACCCATTCTTGGTAGTGTACGGGTAGTTTAGTCTACACCCCACACTCAGTCAGCCTTGGTAATTAGTGCTTCGTCATAAACCAGCCGTGCCCATACTGAGTTGGCTGGGTCTCAGGGTACAGAGATGTCCTTTCCAGTCCAGAAAAAAGGGACCATCGAGCACAGAGACGCACTCGCATACGTATACACAGACGGGTTGATGTCACATGCACACAGGCACACGCACACACACACGCACACACACACACACAAACACCCACACAAACACTCATACCTGCACACACAACCACACCCACACCCACACGTACACACACACTCACACCCACACCCACACCCACACCACACATACATACACACACGCACACGTGCACACGATCATTCTATCTTGATGTGTCTTTGCCTCGGCCCCTCCAGCGCACACACCATCAGCGAAGGCATTCATGACCACGTTGTCCTTGTCGACAATCACGTAGGAGGCGGTCTCGTCTCGTGAGCTGCTGTTGCTGCTGCCGCTGTCGTGCACGCCACTCAGCATGCCTGGCCCACTGGTGCCCAAGTGGGCTACATCGTACGCTTGCTTGTCATAGTCGCCTAGTTAAGGTGGGTGGTTGTGTATGAGAGAGAGAGAGATATATATATATGTGTGTGTGTGTGTGTGTGTGTGTGTGTGTGTGTGTGTGTGTGTGTGTGTGTGTGTGTGTGTGTGTGTGTGTGTGTGTGTGTGTGTGTGTGTGTGTGTGTGTGTGTGTGTGTGTGTGTAAAAAGTGTGTGTGTGTGTGTGTGTG